TTAGCAAGGGATGAAGCCTTAGGAAAATACCTTAAAGCAAGTTTTATGTTGGATAAAGAATAAAAAATGGTTTTTCTTAAATGGATGAAATAACTCGATTTCTAGACAAATATGTCTCAAACATGGCTAGATGTGTGGTTATGAACAAACTCAAATTGTATAGTTGAAAAGTCATGGCTACCATGTGTTTTCACAGAGGTTAATGCATGTTGTATTTAAGGAGCTATTGTTGGAAAATATTAGGCCAACACTTACCGACTTGAGTTTGTTCTTCAAAGACTTGATTTCAACTATGACAAGGTTAAAAGATATGATACATCTTGTGATAAAGATAACCCTAATTTTGTACAAACTAGAGTGTATATTCCCTCTAAGTTTTTTTTTTTTTTTGACTTTATAAAACATCTTCCAGCCTACCTATCATATGAGGCAAGGATTACGGGATTAGTGGAATATCGATAGATGAATCCATTTAAAAAATAATGATATTAATTTGTAAAGTTAAACAAAATGATTTTGTAATTATCAATCATTAACAAACTTAATATAGTAAGTATCTTTAAAAGCTTAAAAGAAATGTTAAGAATAAAACAAAAGTGGAAAAGTCAATATGCAATGCATGTTTAGTTGAAGAAGTCTCTTCACTCGGTTGCATTATTTTAAGCCTCATGTCAATGCGAGGCATCAAAAAGTGCTATGTAATGTTGAGTGCGATGGAGAATCAAATGACCATATTGAAGGGATGTTTTTCATTTTTAAATAGCATGGTCGACCAATTGGTCGAGCCACAACATGGAGGTTGAAAAAGGAAGAGGGCAAAGCAGTCCATCAATATATATTATTGAACTATCAAAAAGTTAAAGCTTACATTGAGTAAGTGTCTAATATTTAATATTAATATTTTTCATCCTTAATTAGCAATCATAATATACAAACTAACTAGCGTATGTTAAATATATGATTTTTTGATAATTGATGTCTTGCCTAACTATAACAAAATAATCCCTACGTTGTCGAGCATGAGGTTGATGGTCGACTTGAAATCGAGTTTGTCAAATGGTTTAGTGAATATATGAGTATCCTTATTTTACTTAGCGTTTATCGAATAATTTTCTTTGATTCTTAACTAAACTTTTTGTCATGGATCTTAATTTTAGAGACAAAATATGTACAACTAACTTGTATGATGAACCATCTCATAAAAGATCTTGAAAAAAGACCTTTACCTATCGTAAAGTAATATCCGAGATACGATATTAATGGATATAGTTTTCACATAAATAAGCACAATTTAGATAGATCAAGTATGAATAGTGGAGTACATATTAAAGTGGTCTAATTATAGTACGGATGAGAGTGATTACTATAAGATATCAGTATATATTCTATAATTAGAGTATCATGCACTACCAATCAAGAGAATAGTAGTGTTCAAATGTTATTGGTTTGATCTATATCGAATAGAATAAGGATTCATCCACAATATAGATTAGCAAAGATAAAATATAGAAGAAGTTTTAATAGATATGAACCCTTTGTTCTAGTGACACAAGTGGCTCAAGTATATTATGTCACGTATCTTAGCTTGAAGCACAACTCGTCAAGATTGGTAGAATATTTATAAGATAAAAGTTAGGAATGTGGATGATTTATCGGAATTGTCCGTTGGAGTCCAACAAAATATAGAATTGTTTCAAGAAAAAGATTTACAAATCCAACATAATTTGATTTAGGAAGATGGTTAAGAGCAATTGTTGAATGATCTAAATGGATCGTTTATAGATATAGAAGTAATTGAAGCTAATGAAGAAGATGAGTGAATATGTATTAGAATCGACTTAGGGAGAGAAAAACTTAAAAGATAATTATGACGAGTTGTAATTAAAGATCAAATTTATTTGTCATATTCATTGAATTATATTGTTTTGTCTATTATGCGGTTTTTAGATGTTTGTTATGTATTTTGGATGTGCTGAATTTTTATATGTTTTTTTATGAAAATAATTTATAATATATTTTTATTTGAATTATTATTCATTTTTTGTATTTGTTAAATTGTTTTAGTTGTTATTCTAAAGTCATGCCTTGTGGATTAGGTATATATGGTCTCAATGCTAGTGGTCATGACTCGACGGCGACAATGTCTATGGCCATGTCGTGACACTAATACTAGTAGTGTCCATGATCGTGCCACTAATACATGGACGTGGCACTCGCTAGTGCAAGTATTTATGGTCATAGACTTAATAGTGGCACCGACATATCGACATCCACGTTAGTAGTACCCTCGCTAGTAATGCCTTCGTTGGTAGTGCCCCTAGCCACGGAGGTCCCTATAATGGTTTCCTCAACTCTAGAAAACTCTATTGGATCTAATACTTGATGGGCATTTAGGTCTTAAATAACTAGTAAGTAATATGTTTTACATATGGTAATTAGTTTTATATATTATATTGGGTTTATTAATTCACTTATTTTTTTTTCAATAGCTTAGTTCCATCAAGTGCTCCATAAAAATCATTGTAATTTTCAAAGAGCAATTGGATGTTGCTAGCTCTACATGGAAATCCGTCTCTATGGAGTCGAAAGACTTCTACTTTTATGAATTTATGATAAAATATTAATAAATTATTTATATTTCATTTAAATTATTAATTTAACATGAAATGTATTAAAATTATTTTTTACTTCATTTAGAAGTACTTTTTTATGGGATATGGCCATCGATGCGCCGATTAAAGATATGTGGGAGAGTCCGGCACAAAGGCGATACAACGACATACCGAACAAGCTGAAACATAAGACTAAAAGACCCACGTATGTTAAACGAGTAAGTGTGGGAAGCATGGCATCGAGATAGGAGCACTTGAGTTTCGTGCTCAATCTTAGTAAACGTCTCGAATCTCACGTCGGAGACAAATGGTGTCTGCGCCGCCCCATCCAAGCATATGAAGGGTCCATCTCTTTGATTGTCCATGCTAAACATTTGATAAATCCTATTATCCATTATGTTATAAATTAATTTTTTATTTATTATATCTCATATTATTTTATCTATTTTTTTAACATAATAAATTGGATCATAACCTAAATTCTTACGAGTTGTTCATGACCATTCACAAGTAAAAAGATGGGTCATTCGTTGATAGGCGATCCCGGACAATAATGGTAAGTTTTTTATTTTTATAAACATAAATCTATCAATATAATTAATCTAAAAAATATATTTATAATTTAATATTATAGTTATTTCAATAATGTAGGAGTACATGTAGTCAAGCAAGAAGCGATTGCTAAGGAGCAAGCAGAGGGTGATTAAATGTCTCCAAACATCGACATGAGTAAAATATATTTGGATGTTGTAAAAGGAAAGAAGAAGTAGAGAGTGTACGACTTTAGATCACAAGCGTCTCGGCTTTACTTCCATTCTAGTGCTAGCTCCTCCTTTACTACTTTGCAATATCCCGAAAGTAATATTCATGAGATTTTTGCCTAGTACGAAAATATGATCAATGGGATAAAGGTTACTATCCAAGAACGAGCCAATCAATTTAACACTCTGCGAGTCAAATGCAAATAGTGATGGGGTTGTTACGGGACTTATAGTAAACTTACGCCCTTCTGCCGATCCCTCCAACCCAAGAGTCAATCATTTCTCTCAACACCAAGCAACTAGAAGATAATGTAGGAGATGATGATAAGGACTAGATTTCTTTTTTAAAAGGTTTTTAATATTTTCATACACCTTAACACATTTATATATTTATTTGATTTATATTATTTTAATTTTATTAAATAATAAATCGTGTTTTAATAAAGTGTTATTTTTAGTTGTTTGTTATTATCATTAGCATATATATATATATATATATATATATATATATATATATATATATATATATATATTCATTTAGCAACCGATTTACAACCAAATTAACGGTCAAAACTAAACCTTTTTGCGACAAATACATATATAGTCGCTAAATAACGTTAGATTTAGCAACGAATTTATGAGAAATTTTAATGAGTACGATTTAGGAATGAAAATAACTAATTAATGATGGTTTTGCAATAAATAATGGATCGAAGAGTAAATTATTTACATCATTTTAATGACAAAAATTCTACGCGTTAGTGACGGAAAAAGAAATTGTGTTGCTAGGAAAATAGTAATAATCACATTTATTACTAAAAGTATATTGTCGTAAATCCTTTATTAAGACTAAAAAGCGACTAATATTGTTGATATAATAACTAAAAAAATTCATCGTCAGTTTTTTGTTTTCTTATAGTGAAACGTTAGAATAAACTTAGTTGTATAAATAATTTAATTAGCAATCACAACAAATTCGAATGTTATTAGTTTGATGAAGATCGAGTGCATTCTTCTGTTGGGATGATATCCTGACTTACAAGTCAAATCCCATCATCATAAATAGAAAATAAAATCGTTGTAGAAATTTGAACCATCAAAGTAAGTGCACCTAGTTAGAAAACTTTGGCTGCTTCAGTTGAAAAAAAAAAAGGCAGCACTTTGGACTCCAAAAACCAATGCGATTCCATTTCAAGACGCTATAGAGAATTACATAAAAAGGGGGAAAAACAAAAATATTAAAAAAAGATGTTATTGCCGACTCTATCACCTCTTGAATAAGAAAGAGAACAAAAATGCCAAAAATGGATATGTAATTCTATGGAGGCGGCATGTCCAAATTAAGAAAAGGATCATCTTCCACGTGCGAAAATAGAAAATGAAACGTTGGCCTATGTTTTTTCGCGTCTGGTTTTTGTGGGTTACGTGTTTGATTCGATAGACCTGTCAGTGATTGTTTAAAAGGTCCTCTTTCTGGCCCCCACAGTTTTGATTTTTATGTTTTTTCGATTATATAAACCCATTCTCTTCCAAACTTGCTATTCGATCAACCTTGATGCAATTCTCTCTTTCTTAGCTTTCACGATCTCGGTTTCCATTGGTTAAAAGATTTGTTTTCCCCTTCAACATGAAGAGAAACTGCAATCTCGAACTCCGCCTCCTAACTTCAACCGATTCCGACGACCACCACCACCGTTACCGGCCCATGTAAGTTCTATTTCCTTCTAAGTTCTTTACTTTCTTGGGTATCGTCCGTTTGATTTCTTAATTGCACTAGTTAATTATAGTTGGACTCGCCAAATCATTAGCATTTTTTTTATTGATAGTGACCAATTCCATGTTAATTGTAGGGTGGAGGCGTGGAATGAAAGTCCACAATCAGAACTAAAACAACAACAGCAAAAGCAGCTTACTATATTCTACAATGGGAGGGTTTTAGTTTGTGATGTTGCAGAACTGCAGGTATATATTCTTTTTCTTGTTTCATGCTTTGGAAAAAATTAGCTATTGTCGACTACTTTTGTTCGAATCTTGTAAGAGCAAACAACTATATGTTATTGCAGTGGGTATTTAGTATTAGTATTGAAGTAGTAATTAACAAACAAAATATGTTTGTGCATTGCAGGCTAGAGCCATCCTACTGATTGCAAGTCGAGAAATGGAGGATAAATTGCAAAGCCCAACCGGGTCAGAACCAGCTGTTTCTTCACCAATCTTACGATCCCGGCTTTATAGTCCTGTTGGTTTATCAATGAAGAGATCATTGCAAATGTTCCTCCAGAAGCGAAGGCATCGGATCCAAGCAATATCTCCTTACAACAACGTTGATAACCAGTTAAAGCGGACTGGAAGATTTAGGAACTCGGTTTGGAGAGAAGATCAGTGATCCTTAATTAATTAATAGCTGGCCCCAACGTGACATGTGAATTATATATATGAATAAACAGATATAGAGTTATAAATTCCTTGATTTGTTGTATACTCAAGGTTCAATTGCCCATTATCTTTTCTTTTGAAAAAATGTCCAGAAAACATTATGAAGGTTGCGTATATTCCCGGATAGAAGATGTAAAACAGTACATTCTAGAAGTAAAAAGGCATTTCGTAATTAATTTACCAAACAATAAATATTAAATCCAATGAATTTATATTCATTTTTTTTTATTTGAATTAATTTACCCCCAACCTTCTCTAATTTTTTTTTTTTTATGTCATTCTACTTTCCACTCTCTATTTTGAAACTTTAAACTTTCAACCTTCTATTTTTTTTTCTTGTGATTGAATTTTTCACCTTTTATTAAAAATATGTTAGTTGATCGTTAGAAATTGACTTTTGGTCAAAATATCAAAAAATATCAAATTAACAAAAGCCATTAAAAGAATAAAAGTTATGAATATTTACTATTTATTACCTCAAAAATTGCTATTCATTTTATGACATTTTTTGTAATCTAAAACGATTGCATTTTCATGATTTTTGGCTATTTTTCGAACATTCATTTACAAATTGTATATTATGTTTTAATTTAGTCTTTGATGTTTTTAAAAGGATATTTTTTATCCCTAGATGGACTAGGCTCGCCTCTCTCTCTCTCTCTGCTTTTGCTTTTTTCAAGCATTGTCTTTTACTGAATTGAGTGAAAAAATGATTAAAAAAAATAATAGTTATTTTTTTATAGTTTTTTTCATGAATATATATATATATATATCTTATTTAAAATTGATTTCTTCAATTTTTTATTTCTTATGAAAATTCTCTTCAAATTTTTTTATTATTCTTTTTTATATAATTTTATTTGTTAATAAATATAATTTTTTTTCTCTCTATATGAATTTTTGAATCATTTTTTAAATAAAATAACTAATTAAAAATAGAATTCATGTTTTTTATTTTCTTATTCTTTATATAATTAAAATTTTTTGGAATTAATTTTATGGTTACTTTTATTACAATTTATTAACTTCAATATATTTCTTTAAAATTAATTTTTAAAAAAATTAATTTATATTATACACTCTAACTCACTAAATATGGTCAAGATGTATAAAAAAAATTAAAATCATTGGTTTTATTAAAAATTAGCTATGCATCTACACACATAATACCAACTTTGTTATTAATTTAAACAAAAATTAAAATTAATTTCTTTCAAATAAAATAAGTTAAATAATATTTTAAAGAACCCCCTAATAATTCAAATACAATGTTTTATACTAATATTATTGATTATTCTATAAATAAATATATATAAATTAAATATAGTTATAAAAGAAATAGCAACAATAGTAGAATTGAAGAGAAAGGTGATAAGAAAATAAATTCACTATAAAATAAAGTGAATACAAGAGATAACAACTTCAAATAATTCTCTCAATCTCTATAAAATACCGTATATAATCTAATGAACAATGAAACCTATTTACAGTGCTTCAAGATTAGGAAGAGAATTGAAAGGGACTATGAACCATTAAAAGTACATAAATTATTGAATCAATTGCATCACCTTTTGAATTTCTTATATTGAATGATGAATTGAATCACATTAAGAATTATGAATAGTGGAGATATGAAAAGCATATGAACATTCATATGGACATTCAATATTTCATAACACTCCCCCTTGAATGCCCATTATACGAAAAACTTATCTCATTAAAACCTTACTTCAAAAAAACCCAGTGAAAAAAAATCCTACCGAAGAAAAAAGAATACAATATTTCTTATATATATTAATCTCTATGTTGGGGCTCCTTTTGTTGAAAACATCATTTAAGATCTTAGACCACACCTCTCTTGCAAACCATTTTCTCATAAACCATAGTAGGTAATGCCTTAATGAATAAGTCCATCGATTGTTACTTTGATGTATTCTTTCATTAATTGAATTATGCAAACAACATTATCTTCATATAATATTGTTGAAACTTCATTGCTGATAGATAAACCGCATGTCTCTCGGATATGATAGATTGTTGATCTTAGCCAAACACATTCTTAACTTGCCTCATGAATTGGTATTTTTACATAATTTGAATATCTAGCAGCTATAGTTTGCTTTATAGAGCATCATGATATAGTTATATCACCATATGTAAATACATAACCCATCCGTGATCGAGTTTTGTATGAATCGGATAAATAATCTATATTTGCATAACCAATTAAACCCGACTTTAATTTATTTGCGTAAAATAAATACCATATCAATTTTTTCTCCGAGATAATATAGAAAATATTTAATGTCATTCCAATGTCTCCATATTGAAGTAGAACTATAACTTGCTAATAAATTTATAGAAAATACTATATTAGATAAACTATTATTAGCAAGATATATCAATACACTAGTGATACTAAGATATGGTATTTCGTAACCAAGTAATTCTTCATTATCTTCTCAAGGTCGAAAAGGTCCTTTTTTACATCAAGTGAACGAACTACTCGTTGAGTTAGTCAATGGATGATCTTTATGTAAAATAATTGTAGAACTTTTTTATATAAATTGACTAATGAATAAAAATATCATTCTCTAAGTGCTCGAACTGCAGGTTGAGATAAAATTTTATTTTCTCTTTAGATAACTTATGGCACTTTGAATCTCTTCATGAGTTCCAATAATATTTAAATCATCAACATATACTACAATTATCATAAATCCTTTTTTCAAATTTCTTTATAAAAATACATGAACAAATATGATTATTTTTATAACCTTTTTTCAATAAATATTTATTGAAGTAATTATATCACATGTACACAAGTTAGTAATAAAGACTAGATATTAAAAATAAAAAATAAATATAGAAAGTATAACATAAATTGAATTTATAAAAACTAAAATAATAAAACAAATACTAAAATAATCTCAATAAAGATTTCTATAATTTAATTAAATTTATTTCTCAAGAATATATATTTCATGCTTCAAGCATCTTAAATTCTTCTAGTACTTTCATATAGATATCATTTTCAACTAAACAAATAAGTTGAGATCACACCCATTAAATGTATGCATGTAAAGTTTTTCATATATTTTTCTAGTCTAATGAGATAAAAAAAATGTAATTACATCTATTACAAGAGAATATATCTCCTCATAGTCAATGTCAAGTCCTTGCAAAAACTCTTATGTTACAAGTCTTGCTTTGTATCTTATAATTTCATCTTTCTTATTTTGTTTTTGAAAAAAATACTCATTTATATCTCACTAGCTTAACATCTTTAGGTGTTTTGATTATGATTTTAGAAATAACTCGTTTGTAAGAGAATATAATTTTATCTAGATTGCTTCTTTCATTTAAGACAATCATCTCTACATCGACATTCTTCAATAAATGTAAGCTCATGATCCTTATTTTCATTTAAAATATCAATTGTAATATTATATGTAAAAATCTTATCAATAAATTTTTTTCAATCCTATGTTTTTCTTGTCTTGACATAATTTATCAAAATCTCTTGATTTTTCTCAAGTATGTGGACTTCTTCTAGAAGGCTATTATTAGAAATATCTTGAATCATTTTGTGAATATTTTTATTCTTTATATTTTCATCTTGTCTTTTTCTTTTGGGGATTTTTATCTTTAGAATCGATCAGTCTTTTATGATTCAAGGGTGTTTTAGATTCATTTGTTATAACATTAATAAATTCTTCTTCTATGACATCAATTCTATTAGGAGCATTCTCAACAAAGACATACATTTTAGTTACTCTTTTAGGATCTAACAATGCATTTTGGTTGTGGTTTGCAATACCTTATGAATGAATTATCTTTTGAACTTCTAATTCATATTATTTTGTACAAGGATCAAGATGAAATAAGATATAGTACTTATTTCATGTAATATCCTTTTTTCAACATTTTTAACTACCTAGTTTGCTTATTCTCTACCTTTAGTGTTAGAAAAATTGTTTCATTAAAATGACTATCAATAAATCAAGTCTGTAACAATATCTCTTGTTCATGTTTTAAGATATTGAATTACTAAAGAGGATTCAAATCCAACATATATTCTCAATCTCTTTTAAGTGTCCATTTTAGTTCGTTATGGAGGAGTATTATGGATATATACTGCAATATCAAAATTCTTAAATAAGAAATATTTGGCTCATGACCATAAACCAATGAAAAGGGAGAGAATTTCGATAACTTATGAGTTGATGCGAATAAGTGTTACTACATGTAAGATTATATATCCTCAAACATAAACATAGAGTTTTATTTTTAAATAATGATTTTGCTATTAATTGGAGCCTTTTGATAAATAATTTTGCTAAACCTTTCGAGGATGAACATGAGCAACATGTTCGACCTTTATTCTAATAGACAATAAATAATCATTTAATGCTTAGAAGATAAATTCACCAGACATTATCAAGGTAAATCTTTTTAATGACATAATTTAGAAATTTTTGTAATCAAATTATTTGGGATGGTAATCTAAAAAATGTCGAGTTTCGAGTAGATAATAAATATACATATAATCATTTTATGGATACATCTATTAAAATCATAAATACCTAAATGGTCCACATGGTGGATGAATTGATCCATATATATCACCTTAAATTCATTCTAAAAGTATGAAATATTCAATCTTAATTTTTACATGGTCAAGGCTCAATAATCAATTTACCTTAAGAATATGCAAAACATGAAAATTTATTAAATTAAAGAATCTTCCGGTTCTTCAATAGATGTCTATATGAATTTTTAATTTTTTTTTAATTATGAAAAACCTACGACAAAATAATTGGTCATGCCACATAATAAAACGTATTTGAATTAGTAAACTTCGATTTAGTACAGTATTTGTTTCAATCATTCTAATATTTGTAATAAAGACCAAAAGAGAAAGCGAGTAAATTTTTTCAATACATATTT